TATATATATAATTTATGTACGATAAAAATATAAAGTGCTGCAGATCTTGATATTTTCGAGCAATGAGGTCGGTTTCGCCCGAAAATATGATGGCAGCCGATACACCTCCAACAAATCTTCATCATCCGACACGAATTTCGAGCATAACACGGTGGATAAGGTCAACATAAGAACAAACTATCTACTGCATTAGTGATCAAGTAGAAAGGTTCTAGGCAGAATTTCCCAATGAAGGCTCCTATCAATAACTTCAGAATTTAAAGTAGTTCTTAAGCAACTCTCCTTCACTTTCGCGAATTCCGGAGAGATGGGATGAATCCTTGATGATTAGTCGGTTTGTCATAATTGCTCCGCGAATAGTCTGACAAACTCGTTAAAGGTGTTTACAGTGCTCGTGGCAGAGTAGAACTAGGTGCGAGTTTGTTATTTAAGAGTGGTTTAGAACACTAGATACAGAAGTGCGTCAGAGGTACGCTGAATTTGTATGATGGTTCGATAATGATCAATATGCTTATAGAGGTCGGTTATCTCTTCATAGGTGTTGATGTTCTGAAGCTTAAAACCTGTTGGGATGGGATGTTGGAGAATCACATCCGTTAAGGGAAAAGATTCATGGACATTACGGTGAGTGGGGAAGCGATCATTTTTCTTTAGGGGGAACTCTTTCCGGACGAGGCATCGTAGCTCGTTACTAATGACCATCTGTACTGACAATAAAGTCGTGCCTGTGCTAAGTGAGTTGCGCGAGATGGATGAGTGGAACTTGCGGTATTTTGGAGTTCATCATCACGACCTAACAGGTGAAGTGTTCCTTCTTGGGGATAGGGGCTAGTACGAGTTCCTCCTAGTAGTATATTTCCCTTAGGTGGCTAAGTTAATGGTAAACGAATTTCATTCAATGGTGTGGGCAGCGACTATGAGCCCCGCATAGGAGTTGTAGGATCTCTAGTTGAGACTCTTCCATTCTGCGCATTCGATTTTTTATAGGACCTGAGATGCCTTCGTTGGCAGGATAATGTCTTCCAGGGTGGGAATAAGTATGCCGCCCTTGGTTTCGTGACTGCTCAAAGGAACGATGGGTGTTAGAGAGAGATACTTCGTTGTCACAAATATTGTAACTGGTAATCATTTAGTAAGCCTCGCAAGTATTTCAGTGGTGGGATTGAAGTGTCCCGCATACGGCGCCAAATTGATGTGTGCTAGAAATTTTGCGACAGTAGAGTGACAGATTATTGTCTTAACGTGGTATGAATATTCAACACACACTCAGAAAAGAGAAAATAACTGATAAATGACACCAGAAGTTCTTACGTTGAAAACCCAGAAAGGGAAAAACCATAGGGTCTGACTCAGCTGAAGAATTTCACTATCAAAAGTTGATTGCAGTTGCAATCACTTGTTTCACATGCGGGAAAGGGTACTAGGTTTCCAAATTTACGTCGATTGACAGCAACTGATAAAGATTGGTAGCGTCCAGTCGATGGTGGTCGACGGTGGTTGACAGTAATCGACGACGGTCGGCAGTGGTCAATGGAGACTAGTGGTAGTTGATGACGGTCGGTAGTGGTTGTCGGTGGCGGTCGACGATGCTCAATTGCAGACGGTGGTTGTCGATCGCAGGCAACGGTGGTCGACATTGGTTAGTGATGGTAGGTAGTGGTTGGCGACATTCGACGGCGACAGGAGTGGTTTTGCGCTTCAGTTTCTTCTCAAAACTCCAGGTTCTTTCACAAGCTTCAATCTCTTCTTCCCCTCATGAGAGGTGGAGTTCTATTTATAGAGTTTTTGGTGCAATTAATGCAAGAATATGAATCACTTTGATCGGACAGGTCAGAGAGCTTCCCACGATCAGACGACATTTAATGAACATTTTTGAGTTCCTTAATGATGTCGGCATTGAATGATATTGGGCTCGTTAGATTCGTCTTGTCAAGATACTGAATTTTACTATGGTTTCATCAAAATCAACACTCATTTGACCTTTCAAATGCGTCCAGAAAACTTTCAAAAGTGGTTTAATGGCTTAATTTGGGCTTGATTTGGTTCGAATTGGACCAATTTTTGTAACATTGGATTCTTCTTGTAGAGGCGATCAGTTTGACTGTAAGTTTGTTGAAATCAGAGTTCTGATGATTTTTTATCGATGTTTGAATATTTATAACTAAAAAAGTCGCATCGAGATTCGTATCATACCTCGAGATTCATGCCGGAAGATGGAGATTTGTTTGAGGTGTACCAAGGTGAGAGTAGTATTTTTAATGTGATGATAAAAATTTGAGTGATATGCATGTAAATATTGAAGTTGGGGGATAGATATCTAAATATGCATAAGAATTGTGTGGTATGTATGTAAATGACCCTAGAAGCTCAAAAAACATATTTGAGCCATCATCTACAAAAGCCTTATGCTGATCGTTTTATTTATTTCAGTTCTCCTAAAAGATGGGTGTCTGTTTATTTGCAGGAATTACAGGAAGCTGTTAACAGATTTAATTCTTACATTAGTGGGAATGATGGATCTAATAAAAATGGCATATTCGACCAAGGTGTTCTTGAAAAGTTGGGTCTGGGTATGTTTCATATTCATCCATCGTATTCATCTTCAAATTTTTGAGAAAAGTCTCAAAATAATCCCTAACTCTTCACACGTGTGCAAATTTAATCCACACTTTTTTTAATATTGGCTGAAATAGTACTACTCATGAAAAACTATTTAAGTGTAAATTTACATTTAGAAACTGAATTAATCTATTTTTTAATTAGTTGGACTGATTATAACAGGAAAATGATTACATATACTTTTTTTGCTTAAGAGAGCCTTAATTGGTTCTGAACAGAGTGAAGCCTTTGGTGAGGAGACTGAAGCTTTACTTTACCCATAATAAAACAAGTTAAAAATCTATTTTCAAAATGTTACATATTTTGTATTTTTTTTTTTTATTTTAATTGCAATTTACCGTTATCTATGCAAAGATATATTTTCAAAATTTTATATATTTTGCAATCAATCAATCCTTGTCACCATTTCAGGAAGGAAGGGAAAGACCTATTTGTTACTTCTCCTTCGAATGAACAGATTGCCATCAGAATCACTTGAATGGCTCCACATCACTTGGTAGCGAATGCCCATAAGCTTCAGGTAATCTTGTAATGAAATTTGTGAACCTTCTAAATTGATTGCGAATCAAATCCTTAAGCAATATTGTTTATTTCTTTTAGCCAGATTGGTGCATGCTTTATGTTTACTTTTTTTATAATATTGACTTTGGAATATAAATTTTATGCGGGAATGAGTCTAAATTGTTGAGTCGACAGTCTTGTTCCTAAATCTGCTCATTTATTATTATGTTAAACAATAAAAAATTAAGTACATGAGAATATAAAGTTTTATGTTCTTTCACGTAAACCCTATCAATTTAAACGAAGCTTAATATGAGGAGTTTTCTGTCGTTTTCTTTTTGTTTTTTTCCCCTCATATTTTACTTTTTCTCTCAAATATGCGATGCGCATTTTTCTTTCTTGATTCTTACGCAAAGCATCAGATTTTAGGATTTTACTTGAATATCACAATTCTTATGTATTTATATATCTTACACTTGAAATTTGATTTTTTACACTTGCATTTTGAACTTATGCATGAAAAGGTAAAAAAGTGTATTCCCCTTTTAAAATTTTAATAGCAATATGTTTAAATGTATTGTCAAAGATTTTACGAGTTAGATTTGTAAGAATTGTTTGGTATTTATGTAAATGTACTAAAGCACAAGGTGAAAGTAGGGATAAAATATTTTTCCGTCACATGCACGGCATAATTTTATTAGATTTCGAACATATCTCTACGTTTGGAGTCAATATTTGTTCCAGCTAAAGTGCAAGTCTTATAATTTAAAATATTGCCCCAAATTTTGTTAGAAAGATTTGCATACATACATGCAGCGTATGCTAAACTTCAAATTTTACTTGTACAATATATGTGCTACAGTACCCATGCATGAAAAGCAATATTTCCTTTGTAAAAGTTAAAATTTTGATATTTCATATATGAGGTGAATGATTTAGGTGGAAAATTTTTAAAAAAATAAATAAAATTTAGGTGTCAAGATGTATAAATACATAGGAATCGGGTGTGCATCCATAGAGCGCACTGCTTTAGAAAAAAAGAATAATGATAAAGACAATAATTACCATTCTAATAATCAATATTAAATACGTAGTTAGATCTAACAGCTAATCACCCCTATACCACACCATCCATAATTAAAATTCATAATAATAACAAATTTATTTTTCGCTAATAGTATCCAATTCATTACAAAAAAAAAACAAAAAAAAATGCTGCTCCCGACAGCGTATACGACACAAAAATATCAAGAGATGCAGAAGAGTTGGCGGAAATAAATAATAATATTGAATAGATCGCATACAAACCAGTTGATCGCCTGATTGATTGATTCTGGAGTTCCTTTCAGCTGTTCGTTGTAAAAAATACTATTTGCTCCAAGGCTTAATGACAGCTACAACGATAACTATCACAATAATTAGAAGAATTATAATAGCTATGCACATCCACTTACGAGAATTCTTTTGTAGTCTCTTCGCCGTCTGCAGAGCTGTTGTTCCAGATTGAACGTGGTCAACAGCACTTGATACCTGTTCAAACAAATTTAACATTTTGATTCAAACAAAAATGCGAATTTACATTTATAACACTGGTGTGTTGTCATAAAATTATGCATGAAAAAACAGTGTTTAATTTGTTTTAAAAAAATGCAACCAATACACTGTTTTTATTATTGGTGATGTTAAAGATTTGAGTGATATAAATATATATTCTTTGTTATCTGGTGTGTCCTGTTATACCTGGGATTCGATGTTATCGAGCAGGTCACCTTGGGCTTCGACCAATATCGCCATGTCAAAGAATACCTACATCAAAGTAGGAGGTAGTTGAAACAATACATCTGATTATCCCTCTAATCTGGTCATTATTCATGGTTGATTATCCGCTTCACAATACCAGTATATCTGTTATCGCAAACTTCTCAATTTCTTTGTTTGATATATATAACAAAACCCACAAATACCTGCTGCAGCTCAAGAAGCTTCCTTTCTAAATCTTTAATGGCATCATGACGCTCCTGGATCTCTGCAACGGTGTCGACTATCTGCAACAATAATTATTATGTTAGTCAGCAGTTATGGGAAAGCCAGTTCAGGTTATGAACAAATCTAATTTTAAGCTGAAGCATGGTCAGCTCTAAATCGGCTCGTGGTATACGTTTTCAAGCAAACTCGGTTCAAATTTGAATTGAATTCGATTTGACTCAAAATCGAAACAAACTAGCTCAAATTGAGTTATTTAGATTTGTTCCAGCTTGAAAATCAAAACAAGCTAGCGTGTTTCACGAGCTTAAAATGAATGAATACAAAAAATTACACAAACATACTTTCACTTGTGCATTTTAAAATTTTATTTAGCATTATAACTATGTATATGTGTGTGTGTGTCCATGATTTCAGCTCATTAGGCGGCTCATTTACTTCAATCTGAGCCAAAACACGAATCGATTTTCGAGCATTTAACAATCTTCGAGCTATATTCTCAGCCCTAAAGCTAGTTTCGAAATGACAAACCTGGCCACGTCCTTGCTGCTGTATTGCCTTCTGGAAAATTTGCTCGCTGTTTCCCGTCTCTATCAGCCGGTCGATAGTCTGCAGAGCCACCAATTATGGTAGAAACTGTGGACCTTAAAAGCATTCAGATCATTCAGAAATTAAAAACGAAAAAGATAAACTTCTACCTCTTCATCAGGCCGATTACCCGTTACTATTCAAAATGACACAGAACATAAATAAAACAGTTAGTAGATTAATATCAAACCAGATGTTTAATCTGCATGGTGAAAGAAAGGGCAAAACCTGTGAAGACTCTTCTCTCAACAACCTCCCGATATTCTTGATTTATGGTTTCCCTAAGAGACTGCAAAACGCAAGAAATAAAGTTCAAATCAAAGATGCAAAATAGTTCAGACAATGATGTGTTAGGCTTTCAAACACCTTAACATAAAACATCACCATTTTAATTTTTAGCAGAATGAAATACACCTTTTCATGCATGGATAAGGTGGTATGTATGTAAAAATTGAAATTTTAGGTGTTAGAAATGTAAATAGATAGGAATTCAGTGGTATGCCTGTAAATCTTCCTAAATTAAATCAAATCCATACTTGAGCAAATGATGTTCGACACTTCTTAAGGATTTAATCTAACCATTTAAATCAAATCTAAACCAATTATATTTACTTCTATCATAATAGGCTCTTGAACTATTTATTACTCATTAAGGTTATTTTTTGGTCTAAATTGCACAAATTTTGAATGTTTTTATTTCGGTGATTGAATATGGCATTAAGAATGATATTACCAACTAGAAAGGTAGAAATACCATTCTCTAATGGATTCAATCACTTAATAAAGATTTCAAACCTGATGGATCTGCATGAACCAAAAAAATTTCACCTCTGGGGAAAATTTTCTCCCATCTAACCTTAAATTAGATATGGTTTATTGATCAAATTGATTGGAAAACATTTATGCATCTTTTGTTCAAATTGATCAACTAGAATAAAATGAGATAATCAAATGTTCTAAACTAACATTTTCATGTATAAGGAAACTAATGCACATATTAATCAAAAAGAGTCCATGGATTTACTATTTCCTCGTAGCGAAAGCTTCAAAGAGATTCTCCCATAATAAAATGGTTAAAAATAAATCTGCAATTAAATTCTTCAAATAATGCAGTAAGGTGTAATATTTCTAATTCTTAATGCATTCTCTATATTTACTTGATGCTGATTATAATTGGTAAACAAAAATAAATAAACTATACATGCCATAAGAATGTCAATCTTAATGGAAACCAATCAAAAGTAACAAACATCACCAAGAACTAAATAAAAAGATAACTAGGTTTTATCCAAAGTGCTTTTTTCTTTAATTAAAAGATGAACCGCAAACTATGGCAGTCCACCCCCAGGTAGATAATGTGCTATTCAAGAAGGACCCCTAGCCCAAGACACGACTCAAGCCCCCGCTGCCACCCAAAGTGCCTCAGTTACATTTCTGGGCGCTAATTGACCACAGTAAAATATAATTTTTTAGTATTATAGGATTTTTTGTATATTTTTTTTAATATTATGAATATTTTTTCTATAATTTTGCTCTATATTCAATTAATTTATATCTTCATAAAAATTTTATTTTAATAACATTGCTCTGAACGGAATAAAGGACACTAAAGATAAAGAAATTTTTTGCAACTTTTCAGTTTTCCCATCTTTAAAAACAGAATAAAAAAAAAGAGTCAATAAAATAAAAACCACAATAGAATCATACATTGCAATGAACAGATAACAAATAAGTATGTCAAGAAATGGATATTCAAAAAAAATCTCACCTGGAAGTCAGCCATAATGTCCTTCAACTTCTTTTTCAATGACCTGCAGTCATTATCACGAGCAAATAAAATAGGAGATAAGCAAATAAGTTCCCGATTTAAGTGTGAAAAATCCGAAATAAATTAGTACAGTACACGGTAGTTGCTGTTCTAGATCGGTCCACAGCTGACCCTTTTCCACAACCAGGTTTCTGCCGATTTGCTAAATTCTGGAAACAATTATGAAAAAACAAAAAAGAAATTCAAGACGAGCCTTAAAATATAAATTACAAAGACAAGCAGTAAACCAAACACATGAAAATCATGTGTTAATGTAAGCAGATTTAACATCACTTGCTAATTTTGCACAATAACAAAGACAAAGAAGTAAAACAAGAAATTGCATACATCTCTGTCGACGTCTTCAAGTTTTGATTTGGTTATCCGAGCTATTTTAAGCACTTCATCGATATCCTTCTCCATGCGATGTTTGATTGCTGCAACCAAAATAAGCTTGAACATGTTTATTGTTTGGGGCATAAACAAACATACTACACAATTCGTAAGTAACTTAAATATCTAGTAAACTTCCATATTTACATGCATAACACGTCAATTTTAATATCACATAAAAAATACCACTTTTACTGACTTTAAAAATGACATGCACCTTTCATGCATAGCCTGATGGCACCAAAGTGATATAAATGTGTATATGAGTTTAGGTACTAGATATGTGAATACATAAGAATCGTGCGTATGTATTTAAATTTCCCTTATTATTTTGACGACGCTAAAGAATCAAAGAAGTGAATGCAATCCCTGAACGAAATTTTTGAACTCCACCCCACCCCTCAATTCAGAAAATAGAGTCAATAAATTGGATTAGATGTGGTGGCTGAAGAATGAAATACACCTACTTTTCATAGCCGAGGCCTTGGTGACAGCTTTTGACTCCTCATTGGCTTCCTGTATACAGTGCGTGATATCACAGTAAGGACGACATGACATGACAGCAGAAATCAGTATGGAAATTGATACGACAGCGTTCCAGATCAACCAAAGGTCCATAAACATCAGTTAATTTTGTTAATTGACTTCTCAGGTCGTCAAGATCAGAAAGATTACTTGCAATATCATCCATAAAAAAATTTATCAGATTAAATCCCAGAATAGCACCCATCTATTCTTAGTGATGTCTTAGTCTGAGAGTTCCATATTTCTCCAATTTAATCTCTCGACTATATAAAATTGATCATTAATGATCCATCATGTAGAAAGTTTTATACAAAATTGATCCCACTTTAGTTCTTTAGAGACCAATTCAAATTAATTTTGCATAATCCATAGACTAAATTTGAGGCATATAATATTCTAAAACTAAATTGGCCGCATATAATATTCTAGACTAAAGTCACAAATGAATAAGTTTCTATCATGAGATGGCATTTTCACAATTTTTTTGCATGGCAGTGAGGTAATTATGCAAAAGACTCAAATGTCATGAAGATAAACAAATGGCTAGTAAGATGAGTTCTAATAACATTATAAAATGCTAAATCACAGCTCAAATGAATTGCTAAAAATGTGAATAAGGCTCCAACCGCTACAAGGTTTAAGATTCACCCTCATCACACCCCTCTGTTTATAGGAATTTATAACGAGGAAATTTCTTTAAATTACTATTATAGATGTCACAACTCACAAACAGCATCATGACAATATAGTGCATGCAGCGGTAACCTAAAAGTCCATTTCTGATACTCAAATCATAAGCTTCCAACTCACAATAAGGTAACCTAAACATCACAGATTTTAACAGCTTGGTATGAAAATGATGAATGATATATAACGTACAATAAAAAGAAAATAATTCAGTGAATTTTAGGTAGGATGATTTAAATTTAGCAACAACAACAACAACAACAAAGCCTTAATGTGGGATTGGCTACATGAATTTGGCTACATGAATTCTTTTTTTCCATTGCGCCCTATTTAGTGTCATATTTTCATTTAATTCTAATAAATTAAGATCATTTTTTATACAATAAGCCCAAGTCTTCCTACGTTGATTTGTCTTTCTTAATATAAGTTGAATCTAGAACATCTACTCTCCTAATCGGATCATCAAATGGTCGGCGTTTAAATTTAGCATAGGGATTTTTTTAATATGTTTAGTAGAAATCTGCATGTCAAAATTTGGTGGAAATGTAGATAAAAAATTTGATTTGAGCACTTTTATTTTGATTAATTTATTTTTTTTCCATTTTTATTTGTTTGTGGAAATGATTGTATAATAATTTGGTTGGTAATCTGGGAATAAATCATGGAAGGGACAGTCAATATGGCCATCCAAATCAAATGATCCCATAAAAAGAAATTTTCTTCATTATTTGGGCATCATATTGTGAAGCCATCAGATGATCCAGTCAGTTAATGGATTAAGGAGAACGTCATTGATGATAAATCTCAGATCACACTATCAGTATAAAAAAGGATATTAGGAGAAGTCCAACTTCAAAAATGGATCATCAATTAGAGTCTTTGTGATCAAAGTTAGAAGACAAGAAGTTTAAACTATTCGATTGAAATACAAATTACAACAAGATAAGTTTGAATTTCAAAGTTTTTTGGTATTTTTTCTTTTAAATTCTAGAGTAGGATAACATTTTGTTGTAATCATCTTATAAATTTGAAATTAACACGTTTGTTATACTTTTTATGGATAAATTGCCCTCATTTGTGTAGTTAGGGAAGTGGGATAGAACTTACGCCAATTATAATTGTCAAGTTCTTTTTTTGCTTTTCTAATCTCCAATGGAACTCCTTCAACCTATCCAAAATTGCAAACCTCTTGTAGCAAAAGTTGAAGGCTTGAAAATTCTGTCATTGATTCCTCTGTTTTATTCTTCTTGCTTTTTTTAACTTTCTGTTGCAGTCATTGCTCTTTTATGTTGTTAAACTTCTCTTCTACCAGTTCTTGTTGCTTTCCACCATTACCTACTGTTGATTCCAATGCCAACAGCCAGGGCAAGAAAGATAAAACAGGGATATTATCGACCCAAAGAAGAAAATCATAATTCAGAAGAGGATATTGTATGAACAACAGATATAATATCAAACAATACAATAAAGTATATCTTCCATTAAGAAAACTAAATCGAAGTAACCTTATGTTGATTAATAAGTTGTTAAACTTTCTCTCAAATAACTTCTGTAAAATTTTCTAACAGTTCTAACCTTTCCTTGCGGGCTTATGCAACAACCTTGAGCAGTTAGCTAGGGATCAATTGATGCTAACTATTGTTGGGGATCTTACACTTGTAGTTAAGGCATAATTTTGTTGCCATTGTAACTCATACATGGGTATAGTAGCGGTATTTTAGTGTTGTTTTGTCTTCGGTCATGTAGTGTGGTTTTCTAGTGTGCTTATCCAATGGGTGTAAGGCCTTTGATCTGAACTATATCCAAACAGCTTCTAGGATCCTTTCATTCCATTATTTTAACTTATCCTTAAACAATTATGTCAAGCTTAATGTGTTTCTGTATTTGAATTGAATCAATGAAAGAGCATCCGACTTAGGATATAAAGAGCATCTGACTAAGGATATAACTACCTAAGGCATCTAATTTGGAAAAATTTTATTCAATAAATATTCATACTCCATATTTCAATCTTAAGTGTTGTTGGATATATGATTCCTATAAATTTGTAGCAAGTGTAAATACCCAATTCCAAAAAAAAAATCATCCCTTTACACTGGCATGAGACTTCGACCTTCTTCACTTTGGTTATCTTCGCTCTTTATCTACTTTATTATAAATATTTTATTATTGGGTTTGTAAGAGTTCTTAATTCTGATCAACCTTGATACAATTGAATTTCAATTATAGAAATAAAACTCAGCTGCTTGATGATTTTATATGATTTGAAATACTCATATATTTCTTAAATTTATGCGTGTGTGCGAGCGTGTGACCAAATCATTCTGCATCATTTTGTGATTAAAGCTATAGCTTTCGTAAAGAAATCAATTGATAACTAGTATCTTTAATATGTCAAAAAGAATTGATAATTTACTATAAATCTTTGATGATTTAATTTTTCAATGGAGGTTGTAGGGAATTAATAAGTCATTATTATATGAGTGTTTCAAATAACTGAACAACACATTATGGTTTGTGTCCCAAAACATAAAAAAATTTGCACTTTGCATTACACTTCGTCCATTGAAAACATTTGCTTAATATTGATGCCGCGCTTCCTTTGAAATGTTTATCAGAAAATTTAAATCACAATACTTAAAACTTGGTTTTCCATTTTTATCTGGTTTATTCGAAGTTCACCAACCCAAGGAATGTTTGAGCCCAGATAGCAATCTATTTATGGCCACTTATGCTTGAGCGCTTGAGCACAAACTTTGCGAGGGAAATTCAAACAATTAGATGAAGCAAACAAAAAAATTCTATACTATGTCATATATAAAGAAAAAAATTACATAATTGAAAGAAATTTGAATTCATACCTGAAGCTTTGTCAGTAGTTTCGAAAGCTTTTCGATTTGTTTGTCAATATCTTGAACCTATGATAGAATAGGGAAACCATTTTATGACGGTCCAAGTAAATACATAATCATATAGAAAACCAAACTAGTTTAAAAAATTCATAGTTACCTGTTTAAAGAATCCTTCCATACCCAATTCAGAAGAATGAGTAGCGGCCTGCAATCCCTGTTCAACATCTCCCTCTCTCAATGACGGTTCCCGGGGGAGCTCAAAGGAGTCCTGTTGCATAAGAAAATAACAAAGACTAGGTGGTAAGACATTAATGTTTTAAGATTAAGCAGCAATTAAGATAAAATCGCAAAGACAAATGGTAGCCACAAACCAATCAACTACACCTATAAAAACGCAAAATAGTTTGGATCTAACTCAGGCTACTTATAAATGACCCATTGAACTGTAGAAGCGTACCTTAGAAAGTTGAGCATAAATATAAAGATTTGATCATCAATTGATCTTCGCTAGTGCGTGATCAAACTATTATGTGTGCATTCCATCAAATACTACACTAAGCGTATTTCTCATCTTGGCAACAAGATAACAGAATCTCATTAAATTTAGGTTAGTATATCAATCGGGAAACATAGTTCCACTCCAGTGAGCTTGGTGAAGAGCAAACAATTTTTTGTATTAGAGAGACAACAAAAAACCTTTAAAGCTTTCAATTATTGTGCCATCAAACCATAAACATACATACATACATATAGAAATAAATACATACGTATACATATGTAAATGCCCCGAGACACAAACACAGATTTATCACCATAATTTTTAATATTATTTGTGCAAACCCAATATATTAAATCTATAAAGATGCACCCTTGCTAAAATAATAACTTAAATAAGATACTAAGTTAAAACATTTGCCTAAACAACCCTTAAATTCCCATTGATTGCGAAAAAAGCTTTCTCACAACCAATTATACCAGACAAGGTTTGAGGGGTGATTTCTACTGCTCAGTTTGGCTGCCAAAATAGCGAGGGAGGCAGCTAGGAAGAAGAGGCACTGCTATATTAATTATTAGTAGGTACTCCAATTAAGTTGGCGGTCACGATGAATGTAGCCAATAAAAAATAATAAGAAGATAAGTGAGCTCTGAGCTTGCTCCATTAAATAACATGTATAAGAAATTAGAAAAAGGAATTTGTTGAAGAAGAACCAAATCGAGGTGTGGGAAGACTATATACAATACAACAACAACAAACCTTTATCCCACTAAGAGGTCGGCTACATGAATCCTTTTTTTCCAATATGTCCTGTTGAGTGTCATATTTTCATTTAATTCTAATAAAGTAAAATCATTTTTTATACAATATGCACAAGTCTTTCTAGGTCTAAGTCTATGCACAAGTCTTTCTAGGTCTATCTCTGTCTTTCTTAACATAAGTTGAATCTAAAACATCTACTCTCCTAATCGAATCATTAGATGATCGACATTTAATATGACCAAACCATCTGAGACGACTCTCTCTAATTATGTCCGCCACTGGAGCTACACCAACCCTGTCACAGATCTATTTATTTCGCATTTTGTCTCAAAGTATAAAGCCACTCATCCACCTAAGCATTCTCATCTCGGCAACATTTAACTTAGTTTTATGCTTCTCTTTTAAAGACCAACATTCAGTGTCATAGAGCGTTGCAAGTCTCACCGCCATCTTATAAAATTTTCCTTTCGGTCTAAGCAGTACTTTTCTATCACACAATAGGCCCGAAGCATTCCACCACTTCAACCAACCAACATGAATTCTACTACTCAGATCCCCATCTATATCACCATCACTTTGAACAATAAAGTGGAGATATCTAAAGGGTCTAAAACATTCACTCCTTTTAATGATTTGATTGCCCATTATTACAACCCCGTCACTAGAGTTACTGCTACTAAAATTACATTCCAAGTATTTAGTTTTAGTTCTACTCAAATGAAGACCTTTAGACTCCGACCTCCATAATTCAAGTTTTTCCTGAGCTTTCTCTCTAGTCTTATCCAGGAGAAGAATATCATCAACGAAAAGCATACACCAAGGTACATCCTTCTGTAAATGTCCAGTAAGAGCATTCACAACTAAAGCAAAAAGATATGGTTAAAGTCGATCCCTGATGTAATCCAACTGAAATAGGAAATATTTAGTAAATCATCCTTCTGTACAAACACAAGTAACAGCTCTAGCATACATATCTTTAATGACTTGAATATAAGTCATATCAACACTTTTCTTCTCTAGAACTATCCAAAGAATATCTCTTGGAACCTTATCGTAAGCTTTTTCTAAATCAATAAAAATCAAATGTAAATCCTTCTTATTCTCTCTGAACTTCTCCATCAAACCTTTCAATAAATGTATAGATCTACCCGACATAAATCCAAATTGATTATGCGAAATATTTGTAATATGTTTTAACCTATGTTCAATTAACTTCTCCCATAATTTTAAAGTATGACACATCAACCTAATACCTCTATAATTTGCACTCTTGTACATCCCCTTTATTCTTAAAAATGGAGACTAAAATACTTTTCCTCCACTCCTCAGGCATCTTTTTTAGTTTTTAAGATAATATTAAAGAGTTTAATATGCCAAAAAACTCCTACATCTCCTATATATTTCCACACTTCAATTGGGATATCATCAGATTATAGACTTTCCATCATTGATTTTCTTTAAAGCCTACTCAACTTTTTTTTGACTAATGCGACGGAAAAAATGAAACATTTTATTATTATTAACGATATTAAGACACTAAGAACGATCATATTTTAAGAAACTTCATTAAAAAGTTTATCAAAATAACTCACCCAACTATGTTGAATATTTTTTTCTAAGAAAAATATTTTTTAATTTTCATTTTTAATACACTTTAGTTGAGTTAAATATTTACTTTTTTTTCTCTTTGTTGGCTAGTTTGTACATATATTTTTCATCTTCTTTAGAATCTAATATATTATAAAAATCACTAAAAGCAAAATTTTTAGCGTCACAGATTATTCTCTTCGATTCCTTACTGTGCATTTTATATTTTCTCAGTTATCTAAGCTTTTACATTTAAACCAATTTTTATAACATATTTTTTTATATTTTATCTTTTCTTGCACATTATTATTCCACTATCAACTTATTTTATTTATAATTTTTTTTTTTAGATTCTCCAGATACATCTTTTGTCACTTGTTTAATAGTATTTATTATTTTATCTCACATAAAATTTATTTTTTCATTAACATCTCAAATCTTGAAATTTACTCATAAAAAAAATTTTACTTGCGTCTTTTATGTGGCCCCATATAATTTTACGATAATGATTCATAGTATTCTTTATTTTATAACTCTTCATCTTAAAATCTAGAACTAATAATTGATGTTGAGTACTTAAATCCTCACTTGGAATGACCTTACAATCTTTACATTCCCAACAATCTCTTCTTCTCATAAAAAAAATTTAATTTGTGTTTTATTGGATCCATTCTTATAAGTAATAATGTTTCCATCTCTTTTCTTGAATAAAGTATTAACAATAACAAAATCATATGCTAAAGCAAAATCTAATATGACTCTACCTTCTTTATTAGTCACTCCAAAACCGTAGCCACAATGAATATTTCTAAAATCTTCTACCACTCTACCCACATGTCCATTTAAATCTCCTCAAATAAAATTTTTTTCTTCAAAAGATATTATTTGTATTAAGTCTTCTAAGTCATTCTAGAACTTACCTTAATAACTTATATCTAAACCTACTTGAGGAGCATAAAGAGGAGCATAAACACTTGAGCATAAACACTTGTAATATTAAAAATCTTAATATCAACAATAATCTTAAGTGTTATAATTTTATCTCCAATTCTATTAATTTTTACAACTTTATCTTTCAAACACCCACACTATTTCTAGTGCGGCTCTTACATGAATACCAAAATTTACAACTTAAGCTATCATTCTCCTTAGTATTTTCTTTATCCCATTTAGTTTCTTTAATAAATAAAATATTTATCTTTCTATGAATCATAATATCAACTATTTTCATTAGTTTACCCATGAGAGTACCTATATTTCAAGATGTTATCTTAATATTAGTTTCATGGGCTAAGTTCTTTGTCCGCATCCGTTCGTAATGTGGAAACTCTTGCTTATTTGACACTACAATCAGAAGTTGATGCAGCTGCCCTTTCACACTTTTAACTGTATTTGGGTCATAACGTGTGTCGCTTCCATGGGACGGCATAGTATTTACAGAATGATAAAAAAGATTCATGTCATGATTTTCTATAAATTTTAAGCTAGTTGGCTACTACCTAACGCAACCCTTCACTTTTCACATCCGGACTTCGGACCTGACAATGGGAAGACTATATACAATAAGTATTTAAAATTAGAAGTAGGAATTAATACTAGTACCAAATTAATAATGGGGTGTGGGTCGCATTAGATGACCAATCAACGCTTAAATTCTGGTAATAAGAGTTCGTTGAGGAGTAAAACATAGAACAAGGTCCTATAACATAGATATTAAAGATTGGTGTGGTATAATAATAGCAATTTCATAATTGTGCAAAAGCTAAAAAAAATTGCAAACATGAAAGATTTGGCTTGATCTAGCCAAAATCAATGCATTTCTAAAATAAGAACATAAAGGCATAAAACCTTTGCAATCAATTAGAAACTTTCACAATGGAAAGATGATATGATCCTTAGAGAACTATTCAAAACAAAAGGTAGCGAGCTCCAATGTTTCCTTTGGTGAAGTATTCTGCTACGATCCTGAAAACAACCAAGAGTTAGCAACATCAAGCGATCATGCCAGCACGCCTATAGCTCACAAAACCTCAAAACCCTAATCACTCGCTGCCGACACCAATCCCAGTACCAAAAGAACAAACCCTAATCAAACTCTCAACACGCCCAAGCGTGAAACAACACCAGATCTACCGGATCTCAAGAGTTCACACATCAGGAAACATAGCAGAAACCCACATTCACATCATAAATAAATCTGTTATAATATTTGAAAATTCGAAATCTAGACTATACCGTTAAAAGATTGTTCATCTTTCAGCAAAGCTTAGCTTCCACAGGTGAGATCACCGAAGCTACGAAACGCACTTCGATCTGAGAAGAAGATATTGAGCTCGGAGATCCAGGAACAGCGATGGAAGCAGCGTTTCTGATCGGGGAAATACAAAACCGAAGAGCGAAGTTAGAGAGAGAGAGAGAAACGGCGAGGCCCGGGAGACGAATATGGACAAAGATGGAGCGTCCAGCTCGGTTTAGACGTTTTTAGTGGGCAAATTTTTTGGGTATAATTTTAATGTGCTTTAATTTTAAATAATTAAGAGATTAAAATGTAAAATAAATGTGTAGGTTGGTGGAAAGTTAGGCAGCACTTTTTTTTTTAATTAGAAGGCCCATGCTAAATGTTTTTTTTTTTTTTTTTTTTGGGAAAAATGTGAGAGCCATGTTCAATTTTATTACAGTAAAACAATGACTTACAACTCACCAAAAAAATAGAAAAAGGAAAAAATAAAAATTATAATGGAAGGAACGAACAGAAAAGAAACCAATAACTACAGACACATCTACAACCTACAACAGAAACTGTAACAGATCAAAAAACATCAACAGATCCATAAACTAATACCAGCAACAACAGTATTTGAGGACAGCAAAAATCTCTAAAAGAAGGCTCACGAGTGATAAATCTGCAAAACAAAACAGAAAACAACAATCAGCAAAAGAAACGTACAAAAACTAAAAAAGAAATAAATAATGCTATCACAATTATAAACAAGAAAAAGTTAAAATTCACAGGGGAGTAAATAATGAAAAAACAGAGCTCATTGCTTACCTAAAAAGTATTAAAATAACATCCAAACTCCCGAATATATAAAATATTCAGAAAGTTGTTGAGTTTTAATTATGGTTGGTATTCATCAAAGCTCTATACAAATCTTAACAAAAAGCCAAAAACAAGTAGTAAAAAGAACAACATAACAACCACTAATAATAAAATAATAAACATGAACAAAGCAGATCCAAGAAAAGCAAGAACACTTAGGCTCCGTTTGGCGCGGTTGTTTTGCCGCGGCACTGCACTGAGCCGCAACTTTATGTCATTTGGCGCAACGGCATGCCTGCGGCGGGACGTGATTTGAGTCGACCGTGGGACGCGAGCAGTACCCCGTGGTCTGGCTTTCTCACGCGACTTTTTACCTCAACGACCCCTACGCGGCACCAAAATGGCGGGCACGGGTGATGAAGGTGAGAAGGATATGGTGGGCGGTGGGGGACGGGGGGAGATCAGGACGACGGCGGGAGAGCCAAGAGAAGAAAAAACCTTGCAGCAACTGGCTTCTTTGTCTTCCCGGTTCTCACTATTACTTCACTTCGCAAGCAAGATTTCTTCGAGCTCGTCTGACTCTCTCTCTCTCTCTCTCTCCCCTCTCTCTCTCTCTCTCTCTCTCTCTCTCTCTCTCTCTCTCTCTCTCTCTCTCTCTCTCTCAGAGTTTTTGTCATTCCCCCCATATCACAATCATTCATCTCTAATGGGTGAATGCAGGGAGTTCACGAGCACCTTCGCGTTGATCACCAACTATTTTACAGGAGTTCCATCCTTTTCTCCAGATGCCACAAAGTCTTTTACTTACTCTTGCTTGCACCTTACGTTTTTTCTTACTCACCTGCTCAATTCCTTCTCCTGCACTTCTATTTTCTTATTCCAAAATTAAGGAAGACCAATCTTCTTTGAGATTCAGAAAGAGACAAATTATATTTTGATTGTTTTATGTCTTGATGCATGTTTGCATATTTACTTGTTTACATGGATTGACCTCACTTTCAGGGACATTATTAGGTCATTAGTGTATATGAACTTTCTGCTCTGTTTAGAAAAGAATTTTTGCTTCTGAAGTTTCAAAAATGTGGTTGTTACATTCTTCTTTTAAAAAATTTTACCAAACACGAACAACATTGTCATTTTTCCAGAAGCAGCTGTCTCACTGCTATTTTAACACAGTTGCACCAAACAGACAGTCAGCTTATCGCAAACCCGCAGCAGCTTCCTGAGGCAGCGCAACTGCGCCAAACAGACAGTTAATTTGAAAAATACAACTGCCACAAATAAGTAACATCAAAAGCCACATCCACTAACAATAAGAAACAACAAAAGCCACAACCACTAACAACAATAATCAACTGCTAGCAACGCCAGAAAAAAACACCTGAGAGATAGAGGGTCAAAATCAATCCAATAACTAACCTCAAGAAGGATAACAAAAGAACCTGAGCAAAGATCTGAAAAAACAAAAAATAATATTAAAATTACATCCATAATTTAGAATATGAAAATATATTCTTAAAATTGGTTGAATTTTAATTGAGGCAATAGATGATCAAATATTATACCAAATCACAACATGATGCAAAGATCATAGAATATTATTTGATTAATATAAAAGCCCATAAAAAAAAATCATAAGGAAAGAGAGAGGTTGAAAGTTGCAAAGCATAAAACAAAAACTGGAAAGGACTATGAACTACAAACGAACAATAATTGAAACCATAAAAATTAAATATAAAATTAGGTACATTTCTCTTAAATTTTTATTTTCTATAAAAAATCATCTAATGAATATTACAAATAATAGAGTCAATAGAAGTAAATTTATTTTTGACTATTCTTGAATCCTTTTTAGTCCATATAAAATAGGATGTAATTTATAAAGCAAGAAGATGAAATTTTCTCTGAATTTTATAGGTTATATTATGAGAATGATACATAGCTTGAAAAATATTAGAAAGAGCAATAAAAAAATATCCATAAGGAACGCATTTCTTGAGAAGGTAGTGAGAAAATTGACATTCAAAAAGGAGATGATCATTATTTTCAATGCTATTAGAACAAGGAACACAAAGATTATTAATATTCATCCCTCTAAAATTGAGAAAACCACAATTTTTTAGATATTTATGAATAATTTTTTAAGTAATACCAGTAAATTTTATAGCATAACATTTAAACAAAATAAGTTTAAACCAATCCACATAAGAAAAATATTCATATAAGTAGAAATACACAAACTTATGAAAGTAAATGTTAGTATTATTCTATAGACAAGAATAACCATGAGACATGGTAATATTACAAATAACATTAATGAAACCAGCATGAGCATTTATTAAAAGATCAAAGTTCTAACAACTATTAAAAAAACATTACAATTTTTAGTGTTAATCGACAGACTAATCCGACTAAAAATATTGTCACTAAACTTTTCTTTTAAATAAGAACTGTTAAACTAGGGTCATAAAATAAGGAAACACAGTTGGTTGGAACAACTTTAAAATTTAAAGCAGATCTAATTCTTTTAGTCACATTAATTAAGCCTTTTCAAATGGAAAAACTCTAGACTAAGAAATCTTCCAAATCGAATCATGATTATTACAACATTATTCAATAAAAAGAAAAATGAGGATTGTAGAATTTCCAAATTATTTTGGATTTACACATAAAGTTAATGGTATCTAAAAATAGAAGTCCAAGACCACAACAATGTTTTGGCATATTAAACTTATTCCAATAAATTGTGTAAAGTTTTCTTTCAAAGTCATTACATTGAAGAAAATAAAAAATTATTGAAGAAAATTTCTTTCTCAAATATGTTGACAAAACCGTAGAACAAAATCAATAATAAAGATAGCTTCAAATAATAAATTTAATAAGTTGAATCTTACTAATAGAAAATACAAGTTTTTTGTTTCCATCCCACCAGCCAACTGTGAATTTTATTAATGAGTACATGATAGTCATTAATGACAAGTTTAGAAGGTTTAATGGCAATGCCTAGATGATTCCAATGAAGAGGTTTTATAGCAAAACCACATAATAAATAAATATTAAGTTGAATAAAGGCTTCCATCAATTTTGAGAAAGTAATATCAGATTTGGAAGCATTAGTTTGAAGATTGGTAGCTTTACTAAAGGTGTCAAATATATTGGTAATTATCTTATTAGAAAGAGTATAAGCTTTACCAACAATCAAGATATCATCAGCATAAATTAAATGACTAACCTTAATAATGTTTATATTTGAATTCCAATCAAATATAAGAGAGATAATAACCATGATGATAGCGAAAAGATAACGTGATAGAGGGCAACCTTGTCTTAATCCCGAAGTAGAAGGAAAATAATATTTTATTTCACAGTTAATAATGACGTCATGGAATAGCAAGCTATGCTTGCTAAGGTTCTAAGGGACATAATAGGTGCCACTTAGGCTTTACCTTATATTAGGATCTATTTTTAAATGTAGATCTATTTTTAAATGTACAATCAATATATATATATATATACTTTATGCATTATATTTTTCAAAACCTAATTTGAAAAGTATTTGCATCCCTACCTTAGACCATATGTAAGGTCACCCTTTAAAAAAAGTTTTATAAAACTTGCATTTAGTGACACCTATTAGAGTCCTTAGATCCTTAGGAGGGGGTCAGTGACGACAACCCCGTCAAAACATACGCCAACCTTCTAACATAACACGTGCACTTATTTAGATGTTGTGTTAGGACATACGCCTTAGATGTTGTGCTTGACTAAGGATTAGGATGTTAGGTAGCCTCTTTCGGTGACCTGACGGTTGTTTTGTGCTGATGTGTTTGCCCTAGCAAGACATTATTTTATGCTTTTGGTGTGCTTGTGCGTGTCTGTTTAGATATGTACGATAATATATTAGGGTGCTCTTTTGCAAGGGGTCATGTTATATATATGCACACACATGTGCAATAAAAATGAGGAGCAACAAAATGATTATTATTAGCCCTTTTCTGCAGGCACTGCTTAACTCCCCATTAGGCATAGCCAGACACGTTGCATGCTTGTTTGGCATTCCCGTTGACAATGTCTTCGTGCAGATCGAGTCCTTTATATTTTTTTTCATGTATTTTTTAGAGTTTTAGGAAGATTTTGTATTAGAAATAAGGTATAAGCACGACATCTGAGATGTTAGATGGGTAGAACCACGTGACGGGGACCTGAACCAGTAAGCTCGTGTCACGTACCTTAATTTTAAATTTGGTTTATGTATAAAATTAAGAACATATATATATATATATATATATATATGCATAATCGAGCCACCTTTTCCTTTTCTCGGATATGTCTCCGACCTAGTAGGCAACGACCTTTTATTATTTTACTTGTCTTGTTATACTATTTTTTCTGCGTGATTGTATGGTTAGGTTATTTCCCTTATTTCTTTCTGGTTGTTTTTGGGGTGCTAAAAAATTGCAATTTAGGTTGTTTAGGACCTTAACATTGTAAATATTTCTACAAAAATCCTAATAAATATTTTTAAGATAAATTAAAATTTAGGACTAAAAGATAAAGAATTTTTTAAAATCTTTCTTTTACTTTTTTGCATGACCTTAGAGCCAGTTCAAAAACGGGTTGCATAGCATGGGCATATCCCAAGTCATACTGATAGGGCCTCCACGCTTATGATTCTGATAGAAGACTGCATCATATGCATGGCACAAGGAGTAGTCCCCGTGTTTCTTCAACCCGACTGACCCAACATAGATTTCTACATAGGTGATTTTCTATTAGGTCGTTAGAAGGCTCCGCGACCCAAACAGGGTGTAAGTTTTTTTGTTGGCAGAATTTTCAGCTTTGTAGCTAAACCTTTATTTCTCTTCCTTTACAGCGACATTCGTGCCACTTTGGCTGGTTGAAGTATTCCCGTGTGAAATAATTGTCCTTTGATAGCCCCGTGCTAGTTGTCACTACCTTTGGATCAAGAGTATTCTTGGGAAACCACTGAGATGCAATAAACCAAGTGAGAAACGTCCCATTGGGAGCACTTTGGTCCCTATAATAGACAAACATGCCCAAATCTCTGATTCTTGGTCTACATAAATAATCTTTTGCGAATATTGGTCCATGGTGCCTCTGTATGATCTTGTTTGGGCAGACATATTTGACATGTCCTTGCAAAGATTATCGTATGTAAGCTCTCCATGTTTTCTTTCTCTTTTTTGTCCTCTTCTTTGTATGCCCCTGCATTTCTAGTGCCATTCTTCACTAGATCATTTTTATGATCCAGAAATAAACTTATTCAGAAAATGAAATTATATGAATATAAACAAGCTGGGTTCATTTGGATAATATGTATGTCGTTATTGGTTGATGTCACATATGAAATTCTAATAAAGTCAACCAAGTTCCTTTCTTTTTTTCATTTCTATGGTTTTTGAGGTTCTTCTGCATGACTTTTTTTAGGTGATATGTATATATGACACACATTGATTCGGTGTTACATGGGTTAAAGGCAAACAATAACTCTTTTTTTTATAAGGTCTGTTGTCTTCTTGGAGTGATATATTCGTTGATATGTTGAGTTCTCTGAGACCTCGCTACTGCATAAAACTTTAATTAATTTCTTTTATTATTAATTTTTACTAGTGGTATATCTAGCAATATCTGTTTTTAAGCCTTCGTAAAAGATGAGCTCAAGAATTTCTAGTACCTCCAGAGGATTGCACTACTACTACGGATTATAATGTTCCATGCTTATTTCACGACAGCCACATAGCTACGTAAGACAATTTTACATGTGTCTAAGTAGAAGAACAGAAAACTGTGAGTTTCTTAGGTGGGTAAATGGGTTGAAGGACTCCACCACCGAGAGCAGTCGAGCTTGGGGAGTTTCCCTGAATGATGGCTTATCTCGTGATCTATACCAATGCATTTTAAAAATAATAATATCATACTATTGATTATTATCTTAGTAGTCATTTTTTAAAATATGATAGTCGTGCTGTTGGCTGTTTAGTGAAGTGTCTGTTTTTATTTTGTAATGTTGAAACTAGACATTTAATTTCAAGTATGGGATGAGCTAGCATGAACATTTCTGTTATAAATAACATTACAATGCAGAAGCAAAACGATCGCTTGTCAGAAACAACTGGAACACATAGTTTCAAATAACAAAGAACAAACAGATAATCAGCTTATTCGCAGTTGCTTATGCGCAGCAACTTCCTGCCACAGTTGTCGTGCACAACAACTTATTAATAAGTTGTAGCTATCTGAAACAGACCCTAAGCAATAATTAGGTTTTCTTGAATTAATTGATGGTAATGAAAAAAAAAGTGAGATATCACGATTATAAGCTAATTATCTTGAATCCTAAATTTGTTTGAATTCTTAATATAAGAATTAACTCACATTTATACGCCTCAATTATTTCAAAAACATCACATCAAAAATAGGTTAAGGCTTGATTTTACTCGAATTGTGTATGTTAGTGTCATTATGTTCGTTTCGTCGAGCCGGTCAATTTGATCATATTTGTTGAAATCAGAATTCTAAATAATTTTTAATTGAAATTTGAATATTTCTTACATAAAAATTATTTTGAGATTCGTGACGTATTTTGAGATTCATATAGATGATGTAAATTTGTCGATGGGTATCAAGATATTTTCTTTTGTAATTTATTTTCTTAATTATAAACATGTGGCTTATAAGAAAATAAAATTTTATGTGGTTGATATATCCATATGACATGTTTATATAATAATTATTATATGTTAGGAAAATGAGTGGATTTGCACGCACACAAATCGTCGGGATATTGTTAACAAAATAAAATGACTTGAATGCTAAATCTTATCACTAGCCTAAATAAATTTATAATTAGTGGTACGCCGTAGATACTAGTGAAGTTTTGTATTATATTTGGGCTGTCAATCTCCCTAAATTTGAAATTTGCACCTTATAAGCTTCATTTTATTTTATAATCCATCATTAAACTATCATTGAAACTCATTATATTGTATTTGAGATATATCGTTACATCATATTTGATATATTTCATTGCACCATATTAGGATACATCGTTAGCTAGTAGGGTTAGTCAGAGGTGGCAAGTAGGATCGATTGGCGGTGGTTAATTGCGGCTGGCAGGTGATGGTGGCTAGTGGTCGATGATTATGGTGGTTGGAAGTTATAACCAGACCATACGACCTATATTGATCCCTCTTGTTCATATGAATTTGTTTAATGATTTGAGATCCTTAATGGTCTTAGATTTCTATCATCTAAATACTTGATTTAACTAAACTATGTTAGATCTATAGTTTATTTGACCATTTAATCAACAATTTGAAGCCTGCAAATGTAATTTAGTAGCTTAACTAGATTGTACTCAAATCAAACCAATTTTGATATCATTGGTTTTGTTTTATCGAGGCTTGCACTTTAACTATAAACTCATTAAAATCGTGACCTTTGATGATTTTGAATTCAAATATGATCAATCATTGTTACAAAAATATATTGTGATTTGTGGTTTTAGGGTTTAGGGTTTAATATATAATAAACCCTAAATTAAAATGGTGTGTGTTATGCATGTAAATGTCTCAACTAATTCGTTAGTGTAGCGTTTAAATTAAAATTTTTATATTTTATTACACATGTACCATTTTAACATGCCACGCAGGCTATATTGGGTGCCGTTATAGGGTGCCACGTTTTATTGGAATGGTATGAGTCAGATAGGTCCCATTGCCGACATTAGTTGGCTTATTTTCTGGATAAAATAATGAAGAGTTTTAGAAATATATTTTTATTAATTTGTTTACTTAAAAAAAAAAAATCTATACGTGGAGATCGAACCGCGTGTCGAGTCGGCATCGAACCGGAGTCGGAAGCTACCTTCCGCCATTATAAATGCCATCGATCTCACTGGAAGCCGGACCGAGAGAACTGGCGAAGGGATTTTGGGTAATCTGTCATTTTTTTTTTCATTTTTTTCTTTCCATAATTCTTTTTCTTAGCTATTTGATTCTGTTAGGGTTTCAAGGCTTCTATTCTTTTTTTTGTATTTTTGGTAGCCGATTGGTGTAATTAGTGGGGGAGGATGTATTGATTTATGCGTCATCTGATTGAGATCGATCCTAATAATGGTGGTAGATTTTGGCGATGCGATTTTTTTGAGCTATTTCTTAGTTTTCAGTAGCTAGTTGAGCTCTTAGCCAGGTAATTCAGGTGCGCAACTATTCTGTTTGGTTCACGGTCAACTTGTATTTAGAATTGAATTAAGCCAAACCTGGAACAAAAACCAAATCAAATTGGTAGGGGTAGCTCAATTTCAGCTTAAGAACGTAAGTCTTTGATAACTGATTATTGGGTTTAGGTTCTTTTGCTTTCAAGGGTTTTTAAGTGTTCGTCCTGAGTTGTTTTTCAGTTTGTTCTAAATTGATGATTCAGTTAAGCATCTAAGTGTTGTGATTCATCTCAATTGATATAACGACTAGCACTTAGGGACTGTCTGGAAACAGATTTACGCCGAATTTTCGCAGGATTTAAGCCGAATCCCGCCAGACGGTCATTTTGCGCAAATAAATCCCGGATTTCGGCTATAAATCCTGTAAATCCTAAATCCTAGGAATCGGTGGATTTAACTTTGTAGGGCTTGGGATTTAATTCGAGAGCTTCCGATTGTTTCCACCGGCCATACTATTTCCTAAATACTGGCTGAAATTGTCAAGCAATTCTATCGGATTTGCTGGATTTAGTAAAGCCGTTGTAAGGTAGATTTATGGCTTTAACCCATTCAAGATTTAGTAAATCCAAATTACGGGATTTGCTAAATCCTAATAACTTAAATCGCATCTGAAGCCAGACAACCCTTAACATAGAGTAGAAGACAGATTTATAATTATACATATTATGCTCAAACCTTTTGGTTTAATTTAGTTTGGTTTTGCAAAATTTCAAATATAGTTTAAAGTAAATGTGACGGATTAGATAAGATACTAAACATAAATCAAACCAAACAGTTTCATTCGAATTTTTGAATTTGATGGTTTTTGGCATGGCCGTCAGTTAATTAAGTGCAATAATAAAGATTTCTGCTCTTCTTTTCTTAAATTGATATGAAGCTCCAACTAATTTGCGATTTATGGGAAAATGATTTTCTTTTCATTTAATATTGTGTGAATGCAGGGTCTCTTATTTGATAGAAGTAGAAAATTTGAGGAGAAAAGTTGTAATAAAGTTGCCCAGAGAGGTAGTTTTTAAGAATGGATGGAAAACTTATTGATGGAGGAGAAAAAAATGTGAAAGATGAATTTTATATGAAAGTTAAAAGCAAGGAGGAGGAACCAAATCTAGAAAAGGAAGAGAAGACTGAAGTGGAAGTGAAGGCAAAGTCTTTAGAAAAAGACGAGAGCAAGCATGATAAAGAGAAGGAAGAAAACAAAGATAAGAAACTCAAGGGAAAAAAAGACAAGCTGGGGGAACAAGATGAGGAAGTGAAGGAGGAGAAGGAGAAGAAAAAGGAGAAGGAGAAGAAGAAAGGTGACAAGTCGGAAAATCAAAAGAGCGACGATGAAGGTGAATTGAAAAAGAAAGAAAAAGGACTGAAGGATAAAGAGGGGAAGAACAAGGAAGATGGTGATGATAAAGAGAAGGATGGTAAGAAGGAAAAAAAGCACAAGGGAAAGAAAGACAAAACTGAGGAAGAAGAAGATAAGGAAGAGGATGCAAAGAAAGAGAAGAAAAAGGAAAAAGAGAAGAAGAAAAATGAGAAGGATGGGGATTCAAAGGTGAAGGACAAGAATGAAGAGTCCAAGGTAACTAAGGATGATGAAGGAAAAAAGGAAAAGAAGGATAAAGAGGGGAAGTTTAAAGAAGAAGAAGAAAAAGATGATGATGATGAAGCTGAAAAGAAGGTGAAAAAGAAGAAGGATAAAAAAAAGAAAGAGAAAGGAGAAGCTAAAGAGGAAAAGAAAAAGAAGAGCAAGAGTGAAGATGATGAAGAAGATGAAGATGATGAAAAAGAGAATTCATGCGAAGAAAAACAGAAGAACAAAAAGAGGAAGGGCATTGAAGAAGATGGTAATGATAATGAAAAACAAGTTACCTCAAGGGGAATTGACATCGCAGAAGCTATAAATGATAGGAAAGAAGAAGACAAAGACAAGCAAAAGAAAAAGGATAAATCCAAAGAGTCAAAGGATGACAAAGAAAGTAAGGGTAAGAAGGACAAGGATGGAAAGAACAAAGAGAAGGATAAGGATGGGAAGAAAAAAGAAAAGAATAAGGATGGGAAGAAAAAAGAGAAGACTAATGATCTTGGGAAGCTCAAACAGAAGCTAGAAAAGATTGACACCAAGATGGAAGAACTGCAGGCAAAAAAATCAGATATTTTGAGGCTGATCAAAGAAACTGAAGAGGCTCAAGCAAAACCAATTGTGAAAGAAGAGAAATTGACTGATGTTGCATGAGCATGATGATGAATGACAAAGGGCATGGACAAAGTGCCTAATCTTTGAATAATTTTCTGTAATATAAAGTTTTCTATCCATCATTTTCAGAAAATAACTGTAAGGCTAAATAAATGGCTTTCTTTTATGCCATTCTCGTTAGTTTGCCATGTGAAGAAAATACTCATTAGAACGATAACGTTTTCTTTTGCTTGCTGAAGGTATGTTCTTTTCCGGCTTGCAGTATGCATCCCCTTACAACTCTTAATTAAGACTTTTGGTGCACATACTAAGTTCGATCTGTACTTGTTAAGCCATAATTAGAAAGTATTATCGTTATTTTCATGCCATAGTGGCAGATAATTCTTGTCTTAGTCAACAGAATATTTATTTCTGCTTATTCATTGCAACTTGTGCTCTGACAAAGTAACATTTTTCTTACTTCAATGGACATTGATTAGAATAATATCTGCTGTTCTTATTGCACATAAAGTGCTAGTAAGATCTCATTTTGCATAATGTGCGAACTAAAACCAATATTTCAGGAATTAGAAGAAAGCACCAAAAAATGAACTTTTTTTTTCTCAGTTAAACAATACATATGATCAAATAACATAATATTTAGACAAAGTAGAAAGAAAAAAAAAAAATCACCTCCTGCTTCATAGGAGGATCATGTAAATATGCAAGAAAAAACATGAATTTGTAACACATTAGGCCTTGGTTGGTTCTGTTGTTAGGCCAAAACCAAAGGGGAACAATGGATCATAGTGTTCATCGCCAACATTCATAGGGAGCTGATCCACAGACTTGAACCAGGTTCTTGGGAGCTTTCCAGTGAATCCATGGTCTCCAAAGAGCACATCTGCAACACCTTTTCCTTCAGTTCCAGGGAGCCAAGCGGCAACAAGAGCATCAACCAGTGGGACATATGGCTCAATCACCAAAGGCCTGCCTGAGATGATGATAACAACGCACTTAATGGACCCACAAACATTCTCAATGATACTAGGACCGGGATCAGGAAGCGTTAGATTAGCGTTGTCGCCGTAATATTCCGCATAGGGATATTCTCCCACCACCACTATTGCGTAGGAGAAGTCATTTTCTTGGATGAAGCTAGCACTTGGAAACTCGGAGTAGATTACTTTACTGTCAGAGTGTATTGTCGATTTTATTGCCTCTAGGATTGTTGTTCCTGCATGGCAAAAAGAATATGATCAATACATGTTATTAGAGAAAAGTGTTCAAACAGTCCACCAACTCTTTAGAAGGGAGACCTTATTAAAATGGACTGTAATAGTTTCGACAGAAACATATCTCAACCCCAATTTAAAGAGTCTGAGGATTAATTTGATACATTTATGGACTGTGATTAAATTGTTCTTATATATGTAAAAAAGTTAGGGGGCTATTTTGAAACTTTACACCATTTTATAAAATTCAAAGGTGTGATTTTTATAGAAAGGATATAGAGAAAATATGCTGACCAACAGTGATATTCCCAGACTGTCCTTGCCAGTTTGTTGTCCACCCTCCACACTGAAGCCCTATGTCATGAGCATGACTCCCTGCAACAAGGATCATCGAATCTCTCTTCGGAAGAGGAATTATTGTTTCTTCAGGAGATTTTCCATTTTTTAGAAGCACGAGGGATTTTCTTACAGCTTCTCTTGCCAATTTCCTGTGTTTCTGTTACATCGAATAAACACTTCTAATTAGCACATACCTTTCTTAGGGTCTATCTGGAAACAATTTTAGTAAATCTTGTATATCCCAGGATAGATTTAAAACAAAATCGAGAGAAATTAGAAGAAACTAGATTTATTAAAATCAGGATTTAAAATTTGCCTTCTTCCCGAGCTGATCCGCTAAGCTAAGGTCGCCATAGGGATTCTCAAATAGACCCATAGAAAACTTGACCCGCAAGATCCTTCTTACAGCATCATCTATTCTGTTCATCGAAATGACATTTTTCTTCACAAGATCAGTCAGGTTGCCAATGAAGCTTGGGTAGTCATTAGGAACCATTACCTGCATGATCATTCCAGCAGGCCAGATGAAGCTTGTTTTAACATATGGCTGATTGGAAAATTTTGCAAAGCAATTTTTACATGCAAAGTTTTCTGTTTTCAAGCTCAAGTCGTTCATGGTAGAGGTCTCATGGATGATAAACCAAAAGTTGCAGTTTTACACTTGAAAATATCTTAAGGGAAATTTACATATACATCACACAATTCCTTATTTATTTACTTATAGAGCACGAGAAGTTTAATATTTACACTATGCATGAAAAGTTTATTTCACTTTTAAAAAGATAGCATTGGTGATGTTTGAGTGGTATGCATGGAATTATAAATGCTTAGGTGTGGTATAAATGTAAATTGTAAATACATAATAATTGGTGGTGTTATGTAAATCTAAATTATTTTGGTTTCAATATACTGACCATGTCGATGCCAGCGTTGATTGATGCTTCTACTGAGTATGTGTAATTAGCGTGGGGTGGTGAGGTGATTCTGTCAATACCCTCCCAATCTGATATCACAAAACCCTTAAAAGCCAACATCAAACAAAAGTTAGTGTTCACGTGCTATAAAATCAAACAATCATGAGAAAGCAATCTGAATAACCCACCCTGAATTTAAGCGTGTTCTTAAGGAAGCCTGTAATGAGTTCGCGGTTAGCATGCATTTTTTTCCCGTTCCAGCTGGAGTAAGAAATCATGATGGTGGCAACACCCTTGATGACAGAGTCGTGGTAACCCGGCATATGAATGTTAAGCAAGCCCTGTTTACTGATGATCGTGTTGTTCTCATCGATTCCTCTTTGCGTCCCGCCATCGCCAACAAAATGCTTAGCGCATGCCGCGACTTTTTTCCTGGTTTTAGAATTTCAAAAATCTTATCGTCATTCGATCGATAGCGACTAAGGTTCTATTTGGGGTAGGGTGCTATTTTTTTTAAAATGGTTGAAAAGTTTTAGAGAGGTAAATATATTTTTTAAAAGTTACAGTAGGAATTATAAATATATATTTTTTCAAAAAAAATAAAACTGTAGTTTTCTTATAGTCACTGTATTTTAATAGATTAGATTGAAAAAAAACAGCTTTCCACTGTAAATTTCTAAAAAAATACAAAGAAAGTAGTTCACCGACAATGTTATGGTGGTAGAATGAAAAGTAAAACAGACAAAAAAACTGTCTCAAACAAGAGAAAATATTACATTCAAACACTACATATCTGGATCTCCAATTACGGAATGCCACGTCAGCGCAAATTCATGCTTATGATGACGAGGCTTCCTGTGATTGAATGTCCGAATATAATATTTTCTCCCCCAAACAGATCCTAAATCATACTTTATTTCTTCCTTTTTTTTTTAATCTCATAATTTAAATATAGGTAGAATTGGGTAGTTGAGGATTGGTTATAGGTGGTCTTACGGTCCTGAGACGTGGGGAAAACCCTTGAGATTATTATGTGGAATATCTCCTTGAAGTCCAGGAATAATTTCTGTCATTTCTCTAACAATTGAGGGGTCTTCACTGAAACTTTCATAGCATCGACCCCATCTTGGATCCCTGCAGACCTGCATATGATCGGTAGATGTTTAGTTAATAAATACATTGAATAGAGATTAATAGAGCTCATAAATTAACTTTCTGTACAATTCATGGAACAAAATTTAAACACATATGTAACTTACAGCAATACATGGTGCAAACACGTATGGGATGCCTGTTGCCCTTACTTCTATTGCTGTAGCTGCTCCAATTTTCTTAACAAGTTTAGGATCCCTAATAAACAAAAAAGATAATACATTTTATATAAAAATATCACGTTTTTTTGGGCAATTTATCATTTTTTTCTCTGCACTAATTGTAGCTTATTATGCTTTTGAAAAGGATTTTAGATGAGATATATCAGAATTTACAGTGATATGCATGGTATTTAAATTGTTCTTTTGGGCCTGCTTGGGACAGTTGTGGTTTTTTTGTAAATGTCGTTGTAAAGCTATGGTAAGGAAAATAATTTGTTAAAAAAATTAAGGTGTAAATTATAATTTTTACTTTTTTCTAAAAGTCAAATAACAAATTTCTTATAGCCAACACATTTTAACATATTTGGTTACGAAAAAAACTTCTCACCCAAAACAAGTTTTGAAATTACCAAGAAAGCAGTTCTTCAAGCAAAATAATGGTGATAATCTAAATGCAAAGCAGTTAGGAAACTATCCCAAACAAGAGAAAATATTATGTGCAGTGGATTGCATATCCGAACAATGGTCCGAATGTGACCACGCCGCCATGCATGTACCGCACAACAGTCAATTCGAACTGTCGTCACGACATGCAGTTGCTGCACGTAATATTTGCCACCCAAAGTGACCTGTAATCTTGAAACTAGTGGAAAGAGCAGTCCTATTAGCTACAAAATTTAAAAACTAGTTCCATAACTTGCCTGGTAGCTCCCAACCCAACATTGTGGGGGAATATCGTCGCATTGTAGACATTGTTATGGCCATGAACCGCATCAATTCCATAAATCATCGGAATTCCTAGACGCGTCGAAAGGCTGCCCTTTTGAAACTCATTGACCATGTTCACCCATTCCTCCGGCTTCGCCATGAGTCGAGGCACGCTGCCCCCGCCACTAAGTATGCTACCTGTACAAGCAGAATGCTCATTTGAGTTTGAAACATCTGCATTGTCAATATACAATATATTGGTGTGTAATGTTAGGTAAAAGGCAGGAACATACCGATGTAATAATCTTGTAGGATTTGAGGAGTCGCCACCTGCCTCTCAATTTGTGTCATTTGGCCAATCTTTTCTTCAAGACTCATTCTTCCCAGCAAGTCTTGGATGCGTGCTGCCAATGGCTGCTTTGGATCTCGGTATTTGAAATACCGTGCCTCTCCCATTGATGCCCAGAGGAACATGAAGATACAAAATGCTTGTATTCTTGCCATTTTCTGCTTCAATATCCACAAAAAATTGCTTCAGATGCAATTTTTTTATGAAATTATAAATTTATACAACATTGATCGATTCTTCATGATTAGCCGCCAAATCATGACATGATTGTATTCATTTCCTTTGCTGATTCTTATTTTATATAAAACATATATGTTAGGAAAAAAGGCTTTTTCTATATGAGACGGATTGGGCAGAGAACAAACTTACTTTAGAAGAATCCTATGAAGAATGCAAAATTTGATTTTAATTACAAAATTACAACTGGAGTCGATTGTGAAGAGAACGATGTTGGGATTTGAGGTATTTATAGAAGGCCGTTAACTTGGGTTACTTGCTTGAATTGGGTTAAGGATAGGATTAGTTCATAATTATAGGCTTTAGTTTGTAAGAATTGCTTTTTTTGGTTGGGTCAATCATTTTGGATAAAGGGAGTTTGTGAGACGATTTTCTTTTTCTATTTTTAGAAGATACTTTTCCTTTTATGGAACAATATTCTTTTCCTTTTTAGAGGTGGTTGTGTTCTCCTTTCACTTGTTTTGAGTGTCAATTTTTATGTAACATTTTTTATTTATTTACATATATAGGATTTTAATCTTTAAAATATAGTGGTTTTTACTTGCCTCTAATGAATTTACTCATCTCGCACTCAATTTTTTTTAGGAAAAAATGTAATCTTTCTCTTGGTACATTTTTCAAATATAAAAAAAAAGGGTTTTAACTTATAAAAAATTAATTTTTTTTGTGTGAGATAAGTAAATAAATAAAAAATGGTGCTATGTATGTAAATTTTCCTAAAATATATTGAAGTAATCTTATCATTAATTTATGTAAAATGAATTAAATTTATTTAGAAATAATTTTATTGTGTAAATATAAACTCTAAGAGCTAGATATTGAAATATGTAATCATTACTAGCGTAAACGAAAAATTATTCCATACGGACACCGTATGCTGAAATGCATACGGTGTCTGATCTCCACCGTCCATCAGAGCAAATATGTATGACGGTGGGCCCAAGTTTGATTTTTTTTTAAATGATTTGATGTGATGGACGGTAGAGATCGGACACCGTATGCATTTGTGCATACGGTGCCCGTATGGAATAATTTTTCTGCGTAAAGTAATGCACAGACCATAGTCCGCCTAATAGGCATCGTTGTAACATGACACGTAGGCTAACGTGGGTGCAGTTATTGGTCTAGAATGATAGAAGATAATTCAGATGTCTCGTCTTACTGGAATGGTTCAAGTTGGTGGTGTAATTGAGCTAAGCCGGTTGGTGAGCTTGCTCGACTTGATAACTGACTTATTAATTGAGAGCTCAAATCAAACTCGACACTACTCATTAGCTTGTGATTTGACTCTTTCAAAAAAATATTAATATAAATATACTACAAAAAAATATTATAACTTAAAATTTGTGTTTATATTTTTATTTTTTTTAAATATTTATATTAAGTGATTATTTATTATTTATCTCGCAATTATTTATTTTATTTATTATTTTATTATGACACTAGTTTAAATCAATATTATTTTCTCTTTCTTATAATAAACAAGTTAGCTCTTGAGTCGGTTTGACTTAAGGATAGCTTGAACTAGATTAATTGATCAAGCTCAAATTCAAACCTATGGTGGCTCGAGCTCGGCTCGATTCATTTACACACATCGATGGTTCCCATTATCAATCTTGGTTGGCTTATTTTTTGATACACTAATGGAGTTTTGGATACAACAAAAAACAACAACAACAAGCCTTTATCCCGCTAAGTGGGGTAAGCTATATGAATAATTTTTCTCCATTGCATTCTATTGAGTGTCATATTTTTGTTTAATTTTAATAAATTAAAATGGTTTTTTTATGCAATATGCCCAAATCTTTCTAGGTTTATCTTTCTTAACAAAAGTCAAATCTAAAACTTCTACCTCCTAATCGGATCATCAGATGGTTAACGTTTAATGGTCACATAGGAGCTACACCAACCCTATAATGGATATATTCATTTCACAATTTTGTCTCTAGGAGTGTAAAACCACTCATCCACCTAAGCATTCCCATCTCGATAATACTTCAATTAATTTTATGTCTATCTTCAAAGGCCAACATTTTGCGCCATAGAGAATTGAATGTCTCACCACCATCTTATAAAATTTTACTTTCAGTCTAGGTGGTACTTTTCAATCACACAATAGGATCGAAACATCTCTCCACTTCAGCCAACCAACTTGAATTCTACTAATAACATCCTCATCTATATCACCATCACTTTGTACAATAGACCCGAGATATATAAAACGTTCATACGTTTCAATAATTTGCACACTCTTATGCATTCCCTTCATTCTTAAAAAGGGGGACCAAAATACTCTTCCTCTACTCCTCAGGCAACTTTTTATTTTTTAAAATAATATTAAAGAGTTTAGTAAGCTATGAAACTCCCAAATATCCTAAATATTTACACACTCCAATTAGGATCATCAAGTCCTACAGACTTTCTACCTTCGGCTTTCTTTAAAGCCTCCTTAACTTCTTTTTTACTAATGCGACAATATAAATAAAACAATATATTATTATTAGCAATGCTAAAATCACTAAGATCGATTATATTTTTAGAAATTTATTTGAAAAGTTTGTTAAAATAACTCACTCACCTATGATAAACATCTTTCAAAGAAAATTACCTTTTGATTTTCATCTTTAATACATTTACTTGATTTAAATCTTTACTCTTCTTTTTTCTTTATTTGACTAGTTTATACAAATATTTTTCAACATTTTTAGTTTATAATCTATTATAAAGATCACTAAAAATAGAATTTTTAGTATCACAGATCTTTCTTTAGACTTCCTACGGGCTATTTTATATTTTTCTCAATTCTCTGTGATTTTGCATTTAAACAATTTTTATAATTTCTATTCTTATATTTTCTCTTTTCTTGCACATTATTATTTTACCATCAACTATTTTTTTAAAGAAAATTTTCTTTTGATTCTCCCAGTACATCTTTTGCCACTTGTTTAATAGTATTCATTACTTTATCTCACATAGAATTTGCTTCTTAAATAGATTTTTAATAAAAATTTTTTTAGACTCACCCTAAATAGTTTTTGCTACTTTATCCCACATAAAATTTATAAGAAAACTATTTTCAAACCCAACTTAAATAGATTTTAATTTGCTCTGAATTAAATGATTTTGAGATGGAAAGATTGCATAGGAGCTAAAGTCACATGCTACAAAGAAGAGAATGTTGGAAGAGAGAACGTGCATACTGGGATGCGTGCATGGACGTTCGTAGACACATTTTACACACCAAATATTTTTTTGAGGCTATGTGGGCTTATGTTATCAAAGCAACATTTTTGTATGTTTAAAAAAATAAAATAAATGTAGCGAGATTATTTTCCATCTTTATAAACTTTTGTAAAATTTCTTATTTTTTAATATTAAATTAAAAAAAAATTATTGTTGTTATTGTGTATCTTTTGTTGGACTCTTTTTGGTCAATGTTGGTGATTGTTTTGACTGACTTTAGGCGTTGCTCGCGGGCCTTTGAATCTGTTGGCTATCATTGTTGCTCTACCTTCTCTATTTGAAGGCATTGTTGGTTCTTCTTTGAGTTTTTTTTAGAGTTAGTGTTTTATTGTTTTTTTTTTAATTTTTTTGATTGATTGATTGTTTGTATGATTTTTTCTTATGTTGTGTATCTTTAATATTAAAATTATATATAAAAAAAAATTTATTGTTGTTCTTGTGTATCTTTTGTTGGACTTTTATTGGTCAATGTTGGTGATTGTTTTGACTGACTTTAGGCGTTGCTCGCGGGCCTTTGAATATGTTGGCTATCATTGTTGCTCTACCTTCTCTATTTGAAGGCATTGTTGGTTCTTTGAGCTTTTTTTAGAGTTAGTGTTTTATTGTTTTTTAAATTTTTATGAATGATTGTTTGTATGATTTTTTATTATGTTGTAATCTTTTTATTTATTTATTTTTTATATCTTTGAGTTGAAAATTTTTATTTTTATTAATAAAATTGTTGTAACCCTTATATACTATTAGTATTATTATTATTAAAAAGAAAATAAAAAAATTCTATTTTTCAAGTGTCCATTTATTTACTTAAAAAGCAGATAAATTCTCTACGTGGAGAGCTAACCGCGCGTTAAGTCGGAATCGAACCGCCATCGCAAAAGAAGGAGGAATTATTGTGTGCGGACACCGCATGCATCTCTGCATGCGGTGTCCGATCATGGCCGTAAATCACAGTGATTTACGGTCAGAATTATTTCTATTTTTTTTTTAATTTAGGTGAGGCCTACCGAAATATATGAGAACCGTAGATTATGTGATTTACGGTCTTTATCGGACAACTCACGCAAGCTGGTCCTTTGGCCATTATAAATGCGATCGATCACTGTGGAAGCTTGATCGAGAAAGCAGTGGCGATTGCCGAAGGGAGGTTAGGTTATCTGTGCTTTGTTTTTTCTCCACTCTTTCGAGAAGTTTGATCTTAACTATTTTATCCTGTTAGGGTTTCGAAGTTTATGCGCCTTTCTTTTTTTGTTTTTTTGGGAACTAGTTGGTGTAATTAGTGAGGGAGTATCTATTGATTTGTGCATTATCTGATCAAGAAATCAATACCAATTATGGTGATGATTTTAGCGATCTGATTTCTTTTGACCAATTTCTTAGTTTATGCCCGAGTTTTCCGAATCAATTTGTATTTAGAATCGAATTAAGCCAAAACTTGAACAAAAAAACCGAAGTAAATGTATGGGTTGAGTTCAATTTCAGCTTAAGAACATATAATCTTTGGTAACTGATTTTTGGGTTTGAAGGGTTGTTAATTGTTTATCCTGAGTTGGTTACAGTTTATTCTAGATTGATGAAACTGTTAAGCATCTACAAAGTTTCATGAAAATAAATAAAGAAATTGTCGTGATAGCAAAAAACTTTTTCCTTTGAACAATGTTGGGATTTGGGGTATTTATTGTTAGATGTTAGATTTTGGTTTAGAAATGGGATCTGGATAGAAGTAGTTCAAAATTATAAGATCCAGTTCGTAAGTATTGCTTGTTTCAGATAGGTTAATCTTTCTTTTTTCATGATTTTATGGATAAAAGGAGTTTGTTAGACGATTATCTTTGTTCTATTTTTAGAAAATATTTTTTTTTCTTTTAAGCAGTATTCTTTCTTGTTTAAGAGGATTTTGAGTTCTTTTTTCACTTATTTTAATTGCCAATTCTTATGTGATATAATTTT